GATAGCACCCCCCTTCCACCGGGTGTATGCCGCCTTTTTTGGCAATCCAGCATTCCCAGATGCCCTTGGTGAGCCAGGGGGGCATACGGGCACTCTTGCCCCCCTTGCTTCTTGTTGGGATGGTCACCCGTTGGGCCCTGAGTATCATCTCCTTAAGGAACGACCACTCATCTTGGGCACTAAGTTCCCCTGTTCTCTAGAACCCCAGCGCCTCTCCCACTAATCCCCTCAGCTCATTGAAGTTGGCCCTCTTGAAGTCTAGGGCTACCGCCTTGCTGCAGGCCCTTGACACCCTGTGCTGGATGGTGAATTCTAGCAAGTGATGATCACTATCACCCAGGTGGTCAAGAACCTGAAGGCCCCTTACCAGCTCGTCGCCTGTGGCCAGGACCAGGTCCAACAGGGCATTTTCCTTTGGTGGGACTGTGCACCTCCTGAATTAAGTGGAGGTCCTGTATCTCGGCTAGGAACCTCCTGGAACGGTCTGACCTGGCTAACTGTTGCTCCCAGCAGATGTCTGGGTAATTTAAATCACCCATGACAACTACATCCCTTGCCTTAAGTGCCTCTGCAAGCTGGCCCGAAAATTCCCGGTCCAGCTCCTCCCCTTGGTTGGGGGATCTGTAGTAGACCCCCACCGTTAAATCCCTCTCCCCACAGCCCCCTTGCATCTTGACCCAGAGCACTTCAGCTTGCCCCTCCTCTGACCCCATTCTGCTGGCAGAAGATGTGTAGTGCTCCTTGACACAGAGCTCCACACACCCACCTATCCTTTCTTCTCTATCCCCCCTGTAAAGCCTTTAGCCAAGCAAATCCCCTAATCCCATCACAAACTCCTGGACACTTTTTTTTTTTTTTCCTATGGTTCTGTGACCCCCAGCAACCCTCCCATGGACCCTGTCTTCCCCCTCTTTGTTCTCCGCCCCAATCCCAACTTATGTTATATTGAGTGGTTATTTCTAATTCGATCTAACCTCCCCCTAACTTCCCTGGATGTCTGTATGCAGCCCATGTATTCAGTCATTCCTGCTTGCATCACTTTTTAAGATTAGTTTCTGCTGTTCCTATTTGAACTTCAGGGCAAACACAGCTGCAGAAGAGTAAGGTGAACTCTGTTCTAACACATCAAGTATTACCTTCCAATTGCTGAGGAGAAATCCCTTTATTTGAAGGTTTTGAGCTTCCCTGTAAGAAGCAGTTGCCACGTGTAACTGAGGAGTGAACGTTGAGAATTTAGCCTGCAGAACCAATCGTGTGAGCCCACACCATTCATTTAATACACTTTCTTCTTTTCTTGACCCAGTGAAAATCAGTGTGGTGACTTTCTTCCAAGTCTGTGGTTGCATAAAAGCATTAAATCGTCTCAGTGTATTAATGTACTTTTAATGTCACAAAGGCAGGAATGTTTTGACGCACTTCTACCTTTTACTGCTAATGTATATGTTAGTCAAGTTGTGAAGCGATTGGTAGAGAAAGAGGGGGTTTGTTTGTTTGTTTTTTGTTTTTGTTTTTTCTTTAGCCAGCAGCTGTAACTGCCAGTGCTACTACTATTACTGTTGTGAAGCCTTCAACTACTGGAGCATCTGTAAAGCCTCCAATTACAGGACTGCCTGCACAACCTATCACCCAAAAGGCTGCCTCTGTCAAAGCAGAAAGCGTAACGGTAGCGCAGGCCAATCCTTCTACGGTAAGGCAAAAGGCAGTAGTTTAATTAAAATAACATTCTATACGTATATTCAGCTGAGGTTTCAAATTTAATTCAGCACCTAACTAAATCTTCCTCTAACTTCCACAACTAGGAAATGTTAGAGAATGTGAAGAAATGCAAGAATTTTCTTGCAACGTTAATAAAGCTGGCATCCAGTGGAACTCAAGCCCCAGAAATGGGACAGAATGTGAAGAATCTGGTACAAAATCTGTTGGTAAGACTGCTCTATATATCTTTTGTATCACCACTTAAGAACACATGTTAGACAAAGTTTTCACATTCTTCTCTTTATTGCTGTCCTCCACTATTGCTACATAAGTTTTTTTTTTTTTTTTTTTTTTTTTTTTTTAAGTGATCA